TGATAGTCATGCCAGCCCAGCATCATCAACGTTGAAAAATGCTTCGGCACGAAGTGGTTAAACAGTATGCCACTGTTTTGGGCATAGTGCGCCCACGGATTAGTACCGCGGACAAAAGTGCTCCAGGGCCCCATTGATGAGCGACACAGCATGCACGTTAATCCAGCCGCATTTGAAAAGACGCCACTCGCATTCACTGGGACAAAGGAAAACGCAACACCTCACAATTCTTCGCTCTCTTTACAGGGCAGCAGGCCTGGCTGAAATATTCAGGAGTCAGCTTAGACTAGCCACCAAAGAGTCATTCGTGTGGGTGTAAATGTCCATTAAATGAAATGATGAATTTTTGAAGAATTTTGAAAATCGCCCGTATGTGTTCACTGCATTTTTAAAAGCACCCGGCAGCATGTGGTTAAGTTGGGTCACATGTGTCCTGTGCTAAGAAAATGTGTGAGGAAAAAAAATACAACTGTGCAAGTTTGACTAGGATGGGGTTTGAATCCACAAACTCCTGCTTTGAGTACAGATTCCTCATCACTCAACAAAGTACATGTATGTTTGGATTGACTGGCCAATTTGAGTCTCAACTGAGCAGGCTTGTGAAGGGTTTTATTTCTCTCAGCATCTCGGAGATTATTGCACACGCACTTGTTACATCAAGCAATGAATGTCTACACCAAAACTACCACACCTCATGCATATTCATGATCAAGAGCCGAACTCTCACTGATCCATTATCATGCGCCAGTTGCTGTTTTTGCTGTTTTTGCACGTATTGGAGGATCCGTGCACAAGTCAAATATACTAGTGTTCAAGTAAACTGTCACCTAGAGACCTGTATGCATGTTGGAGCATCACCTTAGTAAGTGGTATGCTACATGCACACCACACATGTACACATGGTGGCCCATGCACAAGGTGCCTTCCCCTCGCTCTTGAAATTTGAATGGCAACTGAACATATCTGAGGCATGATAAAACAACTAGAACATGGCTTATTGCGGGTGATTTCACCTCAGGAACCAGTTATTTAAGTTCTGGAACCAAGGGGAGCAAAAAGTGACAATCCAACCTTAAACTGTCCTATATTTGTTTATTGTTTCACAAAATTTCAACACAAACGTCCATCGAGTGTTTGAAATCCTCCTAGAAATCCAATTTGCTGTTTGTTTCTTGCTTTCACCGTTCCTCAAGGCTGGACTTCTAGCCCTCCAAGAACATGGACTGGACCAGTCTGAATCCTGCCTCATCCATCACAGACACTTTGTGAGTGCCTTAGACTGGTGCCGACCATCGCTAACTGAGGAGCTGGTTGCTACATATCAGGAGACAAACAGTCACAAGACATACAAATTCAGGTGAAATAATTTCCCATCCGGCAAAAGAAATCTTACCCAACTCGAACAACTCATTCATAAAGTACTGCGATTTATACATGTTTATAAGTTGAATGCTTGGGTTTTAGATAGCTAACATCTTGTTGAAACAAATTGAATGGCTACCATTAAAAACATTTGAAGCTGGAGTATCTTGTAACTACAAGACGTGTTGTCAAACCTCTGTCATGAATTCTGTAGTGTCATGGGCCCAGAACGATTACATGATTGAGCATTAATATACAAATACAGTATGGTTTAAGGGAAAGTGGCGGGAATTCCGAAGTGTAGGTCAGTTTGACTACCTCCAAACGCGAATCCCAGAAATAAATGATGCTGTATTTTTTGTTACTACACGTCTGAAATTATTCATGAGCAAATTGACACAATATTAAATTCAATGTCAACATACAATTTGTTTCTGAGCTGGTGAGTTCCATGTGTTTGGCAAGAGCTACAATAGACTGGTTCCGTTAAGATTACATGCCAAAGATTACATGTCTACAAGATAGGTACCAGAGGGACTTTTTGATGCTACCATAAAAAAACTACCATACGGCAGCGAGCTGGATGCTCACCGGTATGACGTCACCTGGACATGTATCCGCTCTACTTCCCAGAAGCGTAGCAAAATTGGCTAATGACATGCTCCAGTTTGCTCATAAATACTTATGAGTGTAGTAAAAATGCATATCACCCTCACTGTGGATATCACACATCAGAGCTGTCTCTTCATGGTATTATAGACTAGTCCCCGCCCCTCACTCCACACAAGAATGCAAGGACTGTTAACCAGACTATTCATTGGTACCTCTGCTTCTTTGACCTACATACAGTTGATAATTTTGAACGCTAGAGCAAGCAGTGAACTGGCCAAGGCTTTCAATACGGTCCGTTGTTGGAGCACCGCAATTTTTTGTCGACTGTTGAAGTTTGTTTCTCCTCAACACAGTGTCTGCTGAGCTTGAATACACAGGCAGATGCTTCTCCCCAAATGGTTTTTTTGAGATATAACTTTCAAGCAAGTAAACAAGAACACCACAAACCGATATAGTGATGCACCTATTCCTTGTACAACTTTCCATGCCGGAACGGACCGAGATCCTCATTATTTCAATGAATTTTGAAACCTTCAGGTGAAGAGAACGTTTCAAAGAATTTTAAGATGGATGTAAACAGTGGCATAGCCATTGGGGGCCGGGGCACGCCCCCCCTTAAAATTCCCGGTGCCCCCCAGGTGCCTCCCCACTGAAAAAAAACGGATGAATATTGAAAAAGGCTAACAAAAACTTACCCCAAAAACCGCACCACTGAAAGCTGGTGCCCCCCCCCCTTTGTAAAATCAGAGCTACGCCACTGGATGTAAAGCAAAACAGTTGTTGACTGCCGATGTGGGACATTCACCTATCCTCAGGTATAATAACATATCCCAGATCAAAGGAGTCAATATTAATCTCCATCCGTGTAAGTGGACAGTCTCTGTCTCTTGGCCGTAATTATCATGTGAAGCACAGCTGCCACAAGTCTAACAAATATGAAAGCCATTTGACAAATCCCGTAGTGATTTCAGCAAGTCAATCGTACAAGTTCATCATGTTGATCCAATGGAGCATAAAAAAGTGCATTTAGGCCCAGATTGTTCCCCAAACTGACACAAATTGACACATCGTCTGTTTGGTGCTTTGGTCCTGGTTTAATTGAAATTCATTCACATCAATAACAAATCAAATGATAGTGATGCACTCACAAGTATTACCATGGAATTCAGTTCTAATTCTCTCGCATGAAGTCAATCTTTCATTAAAAGAAAGCACAAAAAAATCCACCCATATCAGATCCTACAAATGCATAAATTTGGATTCATACAAAACTATTCAAATAAATTAAAGATTTCTGTTTTCAATTTCTCAGCAAGAAATGTGTAAATACATGTAAGGGTGCATTTTAAACAGTGTATGATTATGAATACTAACCCTTCTGAAGCAACCTACAAATACAATGTATTACAGATTTTGACAGAAATTCTAGGAGTTTACGAGAATAACAGGAGAAATAAAGCCAATCTGTATAGCTTTTCAATTAATGCTACAAACCATTTTGCTGGACCTACATTGCCAATGTCAATACATAAAAGTAAGGCTCCACTCTGTCCCATAGACCCGTATCAAGGTGCTGCCATGTTTGTCTTGTCGCCTGTAGACCCATTAACAATATTAATACAACCTCACATATTGATAAAAGGGAACAGACTGTTTTTCCTTCCAGCCCCATTGGCTTAAATGGTAGAAAAGCAAGATGGCTGCTGTATGATAGAGGACAATAACGTTCAGTGAATCTGGATTATTTTTACTATCTGACACTACCTTCAAACCCTTTAGACAGAGCTTTTTTTACCAAAGCCCATGCCAGTTGATATACACAAAATTTTAAGAGGAATGAATGCAAGAGAAGTCATCAGAAACTGTCAGGAATGTCTGCAGAATTAAAATGCACGATCAAATGCACTGGGAAAATGCAATTTAAGTTAGGCAAAGTTCAACTTTGGTATCAACAGCTGTGCGTTATCTTATTCATATTTCTGCTTGCTTTCTCATTGAGACTGACCACACCTTGATGAGCTGGTCTTTGGCTGAGCTGGTCTCCATTGCACAGATTTCATCAGTGACTAAGAGATAATGCATGGATCTTTGACTTCTTCAACGCAGGATGTCAAAGATAGAAGCTGCTTACAAAGTATTGCACGCAAGTCAGTTCCATGAACCAATTCTATGTGAATTTATTCCATTTGCTAAGTGTGTTGACGTGTTTTCTTATAAATGACACAAACGTGTGATCTCTGTAGCCAGTTTAAATGAAGGTCCTGAGCAGAAACTATGCTAAGAGTCAAACAAGCTCAAGTTACAATTTTAACAAGGTGAGTGTAGTTCTATAAAATGTGGTTGAACGTCTAGCAAAATCAAATCTGAAACATCCGTTTGGGTGTCCAGGCTCGTCAGTTTTGATTGTGATTGAAATATGTTCCTAAAAATGGCTTTGCTCCAAACTTTAATAGGGCATGATCGGTCAGTTTGCACCATCCTTTGATCCTGCTGTGCTATCAGTTGATCTGGTAGGAAATACTGGACTCCTCCCCCACAAAAAAAAAATTTAAAAAGTGGAAAGATTGACAAATCATGCCACACTTTGATCGTGTAGGTTGATAATTGCACCCAGTATTCGATACATGCACGTATTGTTCAATCTCTTTATACGCACTATTTTTTTTTACACCTCTCGTCAGTTCAAGACTATTACAAACCTTTACACAAAGCCCAAATAAATTCCTGTCATCTGACTGGTGGACTGTCCACCTACTGTCATTGAATTATTTTGGCAAGGCTGCACCCAAAAAAGTTCCATTCTACGGTAAATGAAACCTCCATTGCACAGTCACTGCAGTAGCATTGCCACAATGAGGCTCTTCACACAGGTGATTTCCTCAGGAGTTATACAAAACAAAATGATGAATTCTTTGCATTGTGCAATGGAACAAATCACCTCATGAGGCAGAGAATGAATGGAATGTTCCATCCATCACTGCATGAAATAGTTGTTACCACTGGTCATAAATTTCAACGATTTGTACATTCCATTTATGAATATTCCATTTCACTCAATATTTTCCATTTTTAATTGATTTTCTTTTTTTCAGATGCAAGAATCATACCAACTTTTTTCACTTAATCCAGAGTTGATCTTCCCTTACACATCCATCCTAAAAATAACAAAGCAATACAACATAAAATACACTCTATGGAGTTATAAAATCACTAACATTAACACCGTACTTCCTTGATTATAATTTTCTAAATGAAGTAGAGAAACGAATATAACACACTTGCCACAGGCCAGTGCCAGCACTGTTAATTACTGATTCAAAGCTCACCCTTTTCAATTACGTCACGACAACCAAAATAGAAAAAGATCGATTTACTACCTGGGTAGAGTACAAACTATGCTGCATGAATACCACACCCAGGTGATCTGTTACGATCAACTCCCAAGAGCAGAGCAGATCCACTGCACATCACTGCTGACAAATAGCAAATGAAAGCCGTGTCATCTGACTAAAAATGAGCCCTTTTTGAGGACGAGTTAACTATATGACAAGCTTACTTTGAATAAAGGAATGAACACATGTATGTGTTTGACCGGTCTTAAATGTGCGTTTTAAGACCGGTTTGGGAGAATGGACGCGACTAATGCCCAAGCCCCAGGCAAGGGCGTTATCTTCATTCAGTCTCCTGAGCTGGTCTTAAACGTTACACGTTAGTTTAAGACTGGCCAAGCACATCTATTCCCATTCATAAATACGTTTATATTCAGAGAGTCAAAAGAAGTCAACTGTGATGGATTTCCATTCATGCTCTAGAATTTTACTTTCACTTCCCCTCACACCCCGTTCATTTTATGGTGTATTCCTTTTCAAACCTGTCCAATAGAATCTCCTTAAATGAACTTTGGCGTGTCACATACACACAGACTTTTGACCAATCAGACCCGATTAAACTGTCTCGTATCCACGTCCCAGCGTGTAATTTACGCAGCGGGCATTACCACTTCTCAGCGGGCATTATCAAACGTTGAAACATGGTCACGTGATACATTTTGACCAATGGGAATAGAAAAACTGTCCCAGGTATTTATGAATGGAAAATTGACCTGTTCTGCGTGTTCTTACGTATGCTAGGTGACGACCAATAGCCTTGTAAGCTGCTAAATGCTTTTCGACTTTTCCTGTTTTTTTTTTGGCGAGGAAGAGAAATTGGTTTACAAGGGCTGGTATCCAAGTAACCCGAGCATTTTATCTACATTAACCTCATCATGGCTGAAAGAGATAAACCTCAGCAGTGCAAACTACATGAACCTCTGTGTGAATCTTTTTGTTCTTTAACATGAATCTCTCTGGAAGAAGAACAAGAAAGCGAGCAGACTACAATGTACTTTGGCTTAGCCACCTGACCACTGAAAAAAAACTAGAACTTCCAATCATACCTTGCTCTTATGACCATGACACCACTAGTGAATGAGACAGAAAACACATCACTGAGTGAGTATACATGGAAATGACATCCTGTCATGCACTAAAGGGGCATGTTCAGTAATATAATACGCATGCGGGTATTAGCATACCCTGTACACATGGGGGGCATATGGCCTAGTGGTTAGGGTTTGTAGCTTCTGATCGTAGGGTCAGGGGTTCGAATCCAGCTGGTGGCAGTATGATGTGATCATAGGCAAGTCACGTTACCCCTATGTGCCTCTCTCTACCCAGGAGTAAATGGGTACCTGTGAGGGCAAATTTGGTTATGTTAGCCTTGTGTGCGTAATATGGCAGCATCAGGCTAGTGTACTTCCCAGGGAGCTGAGATGGTTTCAGGAATGTTGAATGTTCAGTTGTCGTGAGCCCAATGTGCAGGGTTAATGATGGTGCGCCTTGAGCACCCGGCAGGGTGGATACGTGCGCAATATAAATCAGAATTATTATTATTCTACCTTTGTTAGTGGCCTGCAGACGTAGGCTAAGTACTGTGCACCTGAACATGCCCCAGGTAACATCAAAAGTGTTGCCATGTGAATGAAAAGTGCAAGAAAGTCGATTTCTATTCTGCCTACTATGGCAGGGTCTAATGTCCTTGATGTCAAATGTCAATTGAATATTATTTCAACAGTATAAGACCAACTGAATCAAATTAATGACGTGTTAAGTATTTCTTTAAATATTGAAGTACGTGTAAATATTCTGTCAATTAAGTTTATACTGTTTGGAGCTATATAAATTTCATTTCATAATAAATACTTTTGATCGAATATAAAACTATTTTTTATTTATAAATGACTATTTTAATGTGATTTATACATTTGTATATGTTTATTGTGATAGACTTGTTAAATTTATATCAAGTACCAATAGTTTGTGCTGTTTACAGGCTACTAAATATAAAAACAAGGTGCTTCACCACATATTATTGCCTTCTCTTGAAAAAAAACCCCAACCCAAGCATGTTATCCATAGAAGAGTAGAGATTGTAAGACCTGTACATCATACCCAAGGGTGCAGCATTCATCTTTAACCGTCCCATGCAAAGATGCATTCTTGACACAGTTTATCCTGTCAGACAAAATCAGTCAAACAACGCTTATGTGTCTGTGCGCTCCAGCAAATCACGTCGAAGGGATTTTTGACAAAAGGGGGTCGACTTAATCTGCAGAACAGCAGTGAGAAGCATACCTATGACAGTTAAACTCCTCAGACTAACCAAAATATGAACAAATTTTTTTCACAAATAAAGTGAAAGCACAGCTTTTCTGACAGTTCAAGGGCAAAACTTGTAGCCTGGGTCTGACACGGTTCTCATCATCAGGAGACGTCACTACTTAAAAGACCAGGGAACAAGGTTGGTGCTCGCATGATTTGTTGCTGTGCAGCTTCCAAAGGGTTGTTCCACGGTGGCTTTGCACAGGCACTAACGCAAATGGTCAGAGAGAAGCTACCAAAATCCTACTGCCATACAAGCCAAGGTGACAATGCAGGCAGCTACCACAACAGTTTATCCAGTAAATAAACAGAATCCTTTTGTGTGGGACAGTGAACTGGGAATTGTAATACAGACTAATGGAATTGGTTCACGGGTTGGTTCTCGTGCTACTGCTGTTTACACATGTAATATTTTACATGATGTATTCACTCCGGTTCTCTCCAATCAAGTCCATCACAAGTCCTTAAGCAAGTCCTTTCACAAGACCAGTCACAAGTCCATTAAGACCAGTCACAAGTAACACGGTGAACAATGACAAAGGAATGCTGATGTTCATTTAGAACTTTTGTGTCATGGTTTAACCGTGGATGACTTGTGATGAACTTACGATGGACTGCACTACAAAACCAGTCTAGGAACCAGACTGGCCAAACCAAAATGGGTGGCTGTAAATCTTGGGTCCGATTTCGTTTTCCTGTTTCTCTGACATCTAATGTATGATTTTGTTAGTTTAAAACCTCATTCTTCAATTTCCAAGAGTGATTAAGCAATGCAAATTACCTGCCAACCAAATATAACATAGTTTGAAGTCAATTTGAATGAAAAATCCCTTGTCAGAAAAATATCGCACATCAGACCCCAGATTTACAGAATGACCCAACTGCGAAACCACCACAGACAGTAAAAACAATCTGGCTCTCATTCGTGTGAAAAGCTACCCAAATCTCCCTGAATATGACATAGCTGGTAGCAAGGCATATGGTTTTTCACACCATGTACATATATACAACCAAAAGTGAAGGTGTGAGTGTTTGCTCCACATGCGTTAATAAATAAGAGGGAAAAAAAAAAACCTGTTATGTCAGCCACTGCTGCTCAAAGTCCAAGGCACACCTGTTGTGTGTCTGTGTAAAAATCTGAAGAATTCTGTCACATACTCCACATTCCAGGGATAACCTTGAAGATCTGCACTTATCTATGCGCACACATACATTTAGTTTGGAGGCAATTCAAAAATACCTCTAGACCAACATTTACCAGAAAAAAGGTGGTGTATTTACAGAACTATAAACAATTGCCTCATGTACTTGTCCTTACACAAGAAACTCCTTAAATGTTGCAATGAAGTTGCACAAATCTGCACACCCACTAGAACTAATAAAAAATAATACTTGAGTTAGAAATACCTTTTGTAAGTCACTGGCAGGAAATATGATCTCAAAAAGTAGAATAAAAAAAAAGGACGGTGGCTTAATCTTGTAACGGTGAAGCTGATAGCTACCAAGTTCAAAGGTAAACATTTAATTCATGGCATAATTTTGTGCCTTAAATGCAGACTATCACTTATGTAATTTAACGTTGGTCAACCAATACTGTTAGGCCAAAAGGTAAGAGTGAAACGGGACTCTGAAAATAAAGGTGACGACAGAACCCTGTTAGAGAGAAGTCCTGAACTTTGAAGAACTTTGTACTGTTAAACTTAACATCAGGGCACTGAAAAACATGGTGGAAAATGCATGGCAGAAAGCTAGTGTGGTGATTTAATGTTAAGAGTTGTAAACCCTCAAATTTCATTTACTTCTTCACAGGAAGAAAAAGAGAAAGAAAAATAACAGAGAGATGCTGTTCTTGCTCTTTTCAGGACAATTTTTCTGACCGAATTTCGTCTAGTTACAAATGCCTGGTTGCCAATAACAACCGCATCTCCAACTAATTACGCATTTTTCTTCCCTAACAGTATGATTTAATAAACTCAAGCACATGTACATAGAAATCAACAGAGCATGCAAAGTGGAAACCAATCCCCCCAAATTCATTGACACGATCTCTCACAGATGAATCTTCAAGTTTTTTGTATGATACAAGGAAATGTCTACAAACACAATTCAACATCTCAAGTAGATTAATCCCCTGTACAGACCAATGTGCACTCTCTGTAATACTGTTTATCAACTGCTACTGTGTTCTCTTTTGTACTTCACACTAGAATGATATGTTACTCTTTACACTGGTGGTTAAATGCACGTATCTCCGGCATCTTAGGCAAGTATGGTGTTTCTCTTGAGTATCAAATACTGATGTATGTACAAACCCAAGGCAGCTTTACACAATGTTATTGAACTATGGCAAGTACACCATTCAGGAATGGCCACTCTCAATATACATGTATATATATATTTGTTTCCATTTAGCACACGTGACGGCAATGTGAAAAATATAAAATACTTTTTGAGGCAGGAGTTCTGAGTAAAAATTAAGTGCTGTTTAACAAACAAAATTAATCGCATTTTTGAAGCTGATTCCAATGACTTTTCAGTTCACAATTTTCTTGTAAAGAGAAAACTCATTATGTGACATCCCTTCAGAAGAAAATTGTCTGCAGGGTGTTAGATGATCAAACCAAGGGATTGGGATATTTGTCGACAGCTTTTATCCATGTTCTCTGAACTTTTGAATACTTGTGCTGACCTGTGGCTCCATGCTGACCCTCGACCCATCACTCCACTGTTCCTTGGTAGCCATGCTTATTCCCTTTGTTGACCCATCTGTGGCGTATGGAGCTGACAATTTGTGCATCGTCACCATCAAGATCGTGATAGTGAAGATTATCCAGTGTTTCATATGCTCCAATCTTCCGACCAGTCTGTTTATTGAGCAAAGGAAAAGCATTACTGTAGCACCTTTCCGACATCAAAAAGCATAAAATCAAAGAAGGAAAAGTCAGCTATTTCACATTATCCAAGATATTGGTCATTTTGGTACCTGGGCTGTTCCAATCATTTCAACATTATGTCACGCACATTTAAAGAAACACTTACAAATAGACACTATGCCCAGCAAGATTGATCAAAAGGTCATTTGCAAGGGGTTTTTTGGGTCACAACCCTGTTCCTGTTATTTAGGGACGTGTGAGTTACACCATTGCCACCATGCTCCAATACTCCAGTGCACCATTCTCTTGTAAAACAGTAATGAGGTTTTTGTGCTCATTCACCTGAAAATTTTTTGCACCATCAGTAAGTACAGAGAGTCCATAACACCGTGTCTTCCATCAGCTCTCCTAAGTAGGCAGTACAATGCTGTCTACAGTTCAAAGGCTACAAGTACACTCCTCAACCCCGTTCAAATCCAGTGGCATTACTAGAAATACGTTTTGCACAAGGGCTCTTGGGGCCCCCCATTTTCTGCATGGGTTCGGCTGAAAGTTAAAAGAGTGACCGAGGCTGACTGTCACCAGATTTTTTTCCTTCTCCAATATCTGAGCAGGAGCATGTACTCCTACGCCCCCGTTAGTTATGCCGCTGTTCAAATCTTCGAGAGGAAAAGGGACGCTGATACCTCTATCATCCACGTGGAGAATTTGCTGGTCCAATTGTTGGGGCGCTCAATGTGCAGGTAGCTATTGAAGAGGATCAGGTAGATGTACCGCTCCAGGAAGTTGAAGCTCTGATGTCTTAGTCTAGCCGCGGTCTCTTCATCTTTGGCCGATTTGACCTGAACAAATCATTATGAAAAATTCCAGTACTTCTGCTCTGTGTGAGGCGGTCAAACAAATGATGCTCAGTCTTTGCTACTGTTAGATAATGCATCAGCTGGGCATTTACAAACCTTGAGATTCTTCATGGTCCTTCACGGACAGATCTCTACAGTCTAACCCCGTTCAGTGTTTTGGCCAATGAAATGGGAGCCCTCATATTCCCACTCACCTTGTTGTAGGTGGAGAAGATGGTCTCTCTTTGATGGTAGTGCATTGGGGTCATTGTCTCGGAGCACTTGTCCAACATCAGGTCAACTTCTCGCTTGACCTGTGACCCCAGGGGCAGACGTCTGACCAGGTTCATCACAACCTGAGATCATAAGACAGACACACGATATCTTCATTCTCGTATAAATTGAAAGTGTATTTGATATGCCATGACGATCTGTGTGATAGCCATGCAATGTACATGTGCATTACGGGGTGAATTGGTGTGTTCAACAGTGAACACGTCACACTGAGGCATAAATTGCTGTCACAGCAATCATGAAATTTACAAGTGCTCTGCAGGGATGCAATTGGAGCTTTGGAAAAAAAAATCTGAAAATTGGAGCACAAAGCCTTTACGGTGTGGGGTCTGAGGCCGGCTTATGGGCTCTGGGGAAAATTTTGAAGTCGAGATGCTCTGTGGTGCATTCTAAACCCCTCTGGGACACATTTTAAGCAACAGATATTTTGCAGTTACTGATTTCTCATAAAGTTAACTTTGTGTTTCCATTTTTTTGTATCAATACATTAAAGGGATACCTTGTATAACACCTTTTCCTTGATTGCTGGCTTTTTGAAGCACTAATTCAATTGTACATGGCATTTTGCGTCCATCCATAGTATGGTATTCTTCCCATCAAGTTCACTGAAACTTATTTTTGACATTTTAAAGGCTACATCAGAATCTGTTGTCTAGAGCTAATTTAGGTCTTCGCTCCATTGGAAATACATGAAGATGCGCAGACAACAGACCTAGCCGTAGCTCTGGAAGCCCATTTCAGACACGGCTTAACTCTCTCTCTCCAACTGACAAGTCTCCCTTTGATAGAACTGACCTTATTCATAAGTCAGCTTTATTGAATTGAAAGTGTGGGTACCTTTTTATTTGGGGAACCAAATAAATACTAAAGAAATGAAAACGTTAATTAGTTTCATTTACAATATTAAATACTTTAAATTTGTGATTTATCATATCTAAAAGTGTTAAGGAACATTTTAAAAAAATCTAAGTTAGGCATGGAACCCAAAATAGTCTGGCACCACCCCATTTGTAAATATGATCAAAAATGGCTTCCTTGTGAATAAGGTCTAATACTGTTGAACTTGGAGTTGTTGGAGACCAACATATTATCTTTCTCATTGCATGTACTACATAAAATACATGTGCAAAACCAGTGCCTAGGAACACTGCCATGGCCAAGTCCAACATTGGAACTTGTCGGTTTGTGCCAATTACAGTGACTTACGGCAAATTCTCCCTTGGTGTACTCAGCCTGGGGCACGCTGATTCGCTCCTGTTCTTCCAATTTCACTCCAACAGGGAAACCCTGACACAGGAAAAACAAACACCAACAACTGTCAGCTGTTTATTGGAAAAAAAAGTGCAATCTTGAAATCAGATATTCATTATGAACACTGGGATGCAATCAAAAGTTCACGATAGAAGGTTTGGGGTTTATTAGGATTATGACCGTATCCCATAAAATGTAACCCAACCTATCACAACGAAAGGGGTCACAAGTCACCAGAGTCCCTTTTGGGTTAGGGGCATTTCACAGAATTGTGCTAAATATAAATCAAAAGGAATCCCCAACATTTTTCACCTGCAAAATGTCCCTTTTTCTCAAGGTGGTTGGTGCGTGTATCTCAAAATAAAAGGGCCTGCTTATTCTTTCTAAAACAAACTAAAATCAAAGTACTGAAAATACAACCTTGAGACTCGTTACGTAAAACTGGGTTGGAAAATGATTTCTTAAGAGAATATTTAAGGTAAAGCAAAATCAGCTCTTTGTCTAGATGGTCATCAAATCATGCTTAAGGGCCTGACAATGAGGTGCAGTTGTGGAAACTTCAGACTCATTCTGTGTGACTAGGTACTGAGACAATGAGACAAATGACGATAGATGCGATACACTGCAAGTCAATAGAAATACAGCACTTTTCAAGTTCTGGTCTGTTGGTTTTTCTCCGCCTGACAAACCCCAGCAGATCCTGTTTTCACTAATGCCTGTGAAATGTCCACATGTAGCGTGCTCTACAAGTTAGCAGGATGTGTCAGAAGATGACACATGGCACATTTGCCGACTCACAGATACAGATAAAGAAGTGTCTGGTTAACCTTTGCTCCACAACCCAAGGGGGTACCCATTTTGGAATAGTTTACTGATGCATTTCATTGACTGTTGGAGGGAGAAACCGAGAGAGAGCAAAGCTGAGGAATGCTTTTGGAGGGACAACCTTTTGGTGCCAGATAATCAGGCCAGCTGCTGCCATGAAGACTGTTGTTCTCTCTTTGCCGCAGTCACAGTTGAAGACCAGGGCTGGGCCGTCCTCATCTGTGTAGATATCCTTCAAGTCCTTGATGACGTTGACGAGAAAATCAAACTCCTGTGTGTCGTCAGCAAAGGAGAAGAGAACAGCACTGACCAACTTGAACTGAGGTAAATCTGGCGGACTAGTGAATTTATGACGTACCTTACACCTGTGGGCTCATACTAAAATGAGGGTATGTCTAGTAACTGATGGTTATGGCACTCTTTATTGCCAAATATACACTGATTACCAACCTGCAATGCAACCAATCTCACCACACCATCTCTAAATAAGGGGTTTTTCATGTGACGTCACTTGACAGGCAAAGGTAGTTCTGGGAGCGTTCCAAGTCTGCAATGGCGTGTGTGTTTTCGAATATGTATCTTTCAACTGGCAATTTCATGTACGGCAGAATGTTGGGAGACTTTGAAGCACACATCTGTGTACACTGAATGCCGACCGTCAAAAATCATGTGACTGAAAAACTGCTACAGTAGACTAGGCAAGTCCAACTACAGATCTCTCTCATAGGAAACAAACATAGTAAGAAAATTATGACAGCATATTCAACACAATTATGTACATGTGCATGCAGTGTGCAAATTTTCTACACACATGCGTGTTGATCCAAACATCCTTGAAAAGTGGCACAAAAATTGACGTCCAAAGTGCCAATGCACTTGGTAATTTCTAAGAAGTGATTTCATTTGAAATGACCTATTGCTGACGAGAATACATTCAATTACAGTTAATTGTGATTAACCCAAGTTCTAGATCAAACTTGCTTGTTGACTGGACTAACTCCTAGGGCTGAGTCAATTCGAATAATTCCCTATTCGAATATTCGCCCTTCAATTTGATCGAATATCCGAATATTCAGTTTTACCGACCGGCAGGTTGTTGATGAACAAACCATATACAAAATCAGTTGCAATAACACACACAATTGTACATTATGATCAGTATACTAGCTTCTCACATCTAGGAGTATCTCCAGCCACGATTTAGCAAGATTTAAGAGATGAACAAGATTTATAGCCCTGTTGAAAATTTCTATTCCTTTAAAATTGTTAACGAATAATTTACTTCTAAAATCTTTGTATGATTTCTGATGCTTTTCATTCGAATCTGATTCAGACAAGCCTCCATAGTGCAATGTTTCTCACTGAAAAGAAAATTTTCCCTTACCTTTCATGAATTTTGCATTTGAATATTAAAATTCGAAAAATAATATTCAAATATTCGACAATCGATCGAATATTCGGTTATGTGGATATTCTGCACAGCCCTACTAACTCCATATTGAACCAAGATTCTGTCACAGTAACCAGAACACACCACACTCGCACTAAACCTGATATCTGCAGACAAGCTCTGGGTATATTCGCTTCACAGATAATTGGCCAAATGTTTTCTTTCCATTTTTTCCAAAAGCAGCCTATGGGGACTTGGACTGACCTTTTCCGGGGGTGATCTTTCATACTCCATTGCTGCCACTCTGTGGTAGTGTAACTCTGGTGTTATCTGTTGCTGGTTTTCAAACATCTCTCGAAGCGTCAGAATAGTTGAGAACTGTTCGGCCTGTCTTGGCTCGGTGATGTCTTGATAAATCTGTCAACCAATTCAGGACATAAACAGAAGCAAATGAAACAACGTATGCTATTTGCTCCATCCAGGAATGATTACCAACAATGCAGAACTGGTGGGTATTATACAAAATAGTGAATGTCTAGAAGTGCAAAGGTAAGATTAATTTCATTCGGTGACGGAGGAAATGTTTCATTTCACTCGGTTTTGCCTTGCAGAATGGAACATGTCACCTCATGAAATTATTCTTACCGTTTCATGAAAGTGAAACATTCATGATTTGTTTCATACAATACCTGCATGAATCCTCTTCTATGAGGACAAACAGTATTTGCAAATTTATGTCTGCCATTTTGTGAAACAGATTCGTGTCCCAAGTGCCAGCCACTGGAAGCAGTGTACACTGTTAGTCTAGTTCCCGTCCTTACATTGTTTTCCTCTTTGTTACTGAGAATGGAATATATTGTGTCTCTGAAATGGGGGCAGGAACCAGTCAAGTGGAGTTCTATTCAAAGGGTACCATACTGTTAAATAGAAGAAAAAATTCAGAGACATGTGATTAACGATCCACCAATCAGATGACAGGGATTTATGCAGGTACTGTGTAAAAGGGGACAATCAGCAGATTCACAGTAACAGTCTCACCTCGACTGGTCCGTTCAGTTTAAGCAATTGGTTCTTCAGCTTCAGTTCTCTTTCCTGTTTAAAAACGAAGCACTGTCAACAAGGGTTTCTACTGAACAAGTTGGGTGAACTACAAAATTTGTAGTGGTGTCAGTTTTCAAAAACTGTTTGTTTCATTTACAGGATATGCTTACGTCATGTTCAGGCTAATCATTCAAGAAATGGTTTGAAGCATGGAACTAAAAACAGAAATACATGTACAAAGCTCATTTTGCTTAGCAGAAAGTCAAAGGAGTTCAAGCTAAGCTTAACTGCAGGGGCCAATTTCATGAGCTGCTTAAGCACAAAATTTGCTTAAGCGTGAAAAACCTTGCTTGACAAATCAGGTTACCAGCCAAACCTCCATGTGATATATATTGTTTTGGAATGGTATTCACCTGTCTTTTGGTTAGCATGACAATCACATAGATTTTGAGCAGGTAATCTTAGTTTTCTTAAGCAAGGTTTTTTGCGCTGAAGTAAATTTTGTATTTAAGCAGCTCTATGAAATTGGCTCCTGGTCTGCATGACTGACTGATACCCATTCTCAAGGTTGGATCTATGTTTCAAGGACGCACAATGACAAGCTAATCATGCGATCATCGATCCTAACCCCTACCTCCAGTTCATTGACGGTGATCCCCGGTATGAAGACATTCCGAGAGAGCGACTTGACCTTTCTGGGCGTGTAGGTGGCGCCGTCACATTCTAGTACTACCTCCCCCCTCAGCGTGAAGACATGCACGGATGAATGGGTATACTTCTGACGCACCAGGTGCTGGATAACTTTAGCCAAGCCCTGTGTTATGCCAGACCAAGAAAAGGAACTGATGAAGTGTTCACCGACCCACTCAGTGCTCGTAGTGGCCCTATGGCAAGGGGCGGATCCCAGGAGAGGGGGGCCAATGGGGGGCCATGCTCCCCCCCCAAAAAAGACTGATGAGGAGTTTATTTTAATCAATCAGAGTGAAGATATTAAGTGTCTTAAATGGAGGTTATTTTGTATGGACGGAGCCATTTTGTTCAGGAAATTTTTTCTGAGCAGCTGCTTAATTGTGACTGGTGTGATGCACCGGGACACTACTGACTTGTTTTGCCCCCCCCCCATGTTGGTCTGGGTACGGCCTTGCCCATGGCATGCCTCGAGCAGCTAGTGATGTGAATGAAGCAGTTAGCCTGTTCTGATTGTCAAATAATAAGAGTGATTATTTAAAAAGCACACAAATCCACCAAGACTGGTGCCGCTACATGGTTATTACCCTAGCTCATTGAGCCAATGAGACATTCTAAGTACCAACTTAGCTTCATGGAGAGTATACAGCTCAATGCAGCCATGTCGGCGTAAAGAAGCTAATTCAATCACACTAACCATCTCTGCCCTCACAGGTACCCCCTGGGTGGGGAGAAGCAATGAGTGACAATGTGCTCCTGCCCAAGGGCACATGCACCACGGCCACAGGCTGGATTAGAATCCACAACTTGCAGCGTTACCTGCTGGAGATCACAACTCTAATGTCCTCAATCACGAGTCCACAGTCCTCCACTCTGTTTGACCGAGCTCCATGCATTAATAAGAAACAGTTGCCTTTTTACCTAGCAACGACATGCACACCAACAAACCCACAGGGGCACAACTGTTCTTGGGAGTACGGCACAGAGGTTAAGCTAACCCGTGGTCACGCCACAACTGGTGGAGGCACCGCCCTCTAGCATGTCTTCTCGTACTTGATGTGGGTGTGATTTTGGCAACCTCTTGGTTGTTGGCACCTGTCTACAAGCATACTGCCATCACCACAGCAGTGACTTCTCATTCTGCTTGATGCATCAGTCCATACATCAGTCAGTCAAGTCAAGAATGTGCAAAACCCCTGGGGCCTTTGCTTGGACACCCTGACAGGCACAAAGCAGTGATGGTGTTGAGGTGTTGGCCAGTCTAACTCTCAGCGCCGCTAACAAGTGGGGACTTTGACAAGAAAGCAGGGAAGGGACTTTGTTCTGAAAAGGGCGAGGCAATTTCTCTCTGCAAAGGGCACTTGTATTAGAAAATCAACTTGTCTATGGGGGCATTGCAATGGGCACAGAGGCGACAGACCAGGGGCATCAAGGCAATTGCCTTCAATGCTTCCATGAAGTTCATGCCCTGCCAAAGGACCATTATCCAGTTCGTGACTTGGTCACAAAGGTGGACGCGCCACGGTTTGCAGGCTCCCATTGGACTATCCCTGAAGTTCCTTGGTTCCATATCAATGCATGTAACTCTACGTGCAGTGCATGTGCAGTGGACGTGGGTTAGACTGAAGTGACGTCACACTTACGAACCGGATTGTTTTCAGACCTTGACCTCCTTTCTGGTGCTGTATCTGGCACTGTATGTTTGATGGACTCTAAAGTCTGGCTTTGCATTTATAGCTTTGGCACTGCTGTTGCTTAAACACTTTGGTAAAGTTATTGACTGGTTATATATTTTATGTTTTTCATTTTTTCTTTTTCTTTAATCTGTGAGTAGTTTAATTTATATTTCCAAATAGGTCACTTGGGAGACATTTTGTGGTAATTTTTTTTCAACATTAGGGAGACATCGGTCATTAGGTAGACATTTCAATGTCTCCCTAATCCTCCAACTACCAAAAGGAGGAAAATCTTTATTGTCCACATTTTGAGAGATGATAGATTAGGGTCTGAAAGGAAAACATGCAAAGTTTGGTTAAGATCGGATTAGGGAATATTGAATTATGGTACGGTAAAGTTTGAAAAATTTTGTGCACGTTCCTATGGGAATATCTCCCAAGAGACCCATTTTCGGTAATAATAATATTTAATTTATTAGTGTTCTATTTCTTAATACTGTAAAAATACCACTGTAGTTTATGTATGTTTGTGCTACCGGCTTTGTTGAATGCTTTTAAGCTGTAATAAATAAAAAATGAAATTCACAAGGATTTGAGAAATGTCCACGGCAGCTCCTGCATCAACCTAGGAAGACTGCACGGTGAGTCTAGTATCTAACATACCTCTCTTCCAGGTTGAGCCATGCCAAAGACTGGCAACCCGGGGACCCGTCTGAAGTTTGATACTTTGACCTCTCGGTGAGAGCTCAACACGTCCAACCCAAGATACTCGTCAGCAACCTGTGTCATTGAAGCACGATTGTAACTTGCGTGAATAAAAAAATATACCTGTGGCAACATTCTCTCCTCATCAGGATGGGAGGTAACTTGACATATGGCATTCACTCCGATGAGGAGCTGGTCAAGCAAGGACTTGAAAAGTTAGACTGAACTTGAATGATTGTCAGAGAACTGGAAACAATATTTACATGTAGGGCAAATTACAAATGCTGATGAATCCCTCTCCGCAAACAAAATGCATTCTGTGTCTCCCATCTCATGAATGGAGCAAAAGAACACTGGAAACCGATGAGGGAACTAACACCCAACTGCTAGAGTGTAACTCACCAGAAATCTGTTGCCCATGGCGATTTGCTGAGCAGGATTGACGTCCTTCTCAAATGAGTCCATGTCACCCAGGATGCGGTAGAGTATGGGATGCTGCTGCATCCACACTTGGAATGACTGGCAGAACATCTGGATTTTCTGTATCACACCAACATGAAAAGGCAATTCACAGTGAATGAAATATGCAATCCGCGCATGACTTGACTTCTTCATTTCTTGATTTCTTCCAACTGTAAGTTTATTGGTAGATGAGAAGCTGACGGGGTATAGTTCACAACACAGAACTGCACATAGAAAGAGTAGTGTCAACATCAGACTTTGGAACCAACATGGCTGGTTGTTATGTGTGCAATACAGCAGGCAGCTGTTGTGTGCTAATTGTCCCTGTGCAACAACGCATAATCCACCATTTTGGTTCCAACAATTGAGACACTCATGTCGCAACTTTTTATACACAGCTCTGATTCTACATTACGAATGTGCAGTCGACTCTCGTTATGAGGAACACTGTTATAACAAAATACTGTGACAAAAGCAAAGAGAATCCCAAGTTCTTGAATTCTTATGCTTTCTTTGTTTTTCCACTCCTTTTATAACAAAGTCCTGTTCATAACAAAGTCATTTGTCTGGTCTTTTTAACTTTGTTATAACGAGAGATGAGGGTAGCTGCCGGAGCTGAACAGAAAGCAACCTCTTCAAAAATCTTGCACAATGAAAGTCAAAGAACGTCAATATGTCCACCAACACAGTGGTATTGAAGACAGCGACATGATCTGCTCGTCTGGGTCAAAAGATGGTCCTAGGCACAGGCGCCAATTGCTTTTCAAAACTGGGGGGGGGGGTGTTATAACCTTGATTAGAGCCAATGCGAGTGCTAAGTGGAGCCCCAACCGTGTGGGGTCCGGGGCCTGCTTAAGGGCCCCGGGAAATTTTGGATTCTAGATGTCTAGTGGTGCAATCCGAGGCACTTTCTGACTACGTCACTAGATTTTTCAGCAAATGCTTTTGAAAAATTAATTCATTTTTCGAATAATATTTATCTGAAATATAAATCAAATGTAGGCCTGCTCCCCTACATTTTTATTTGAGGTCGGGATAAAAAGTGGAGGGACAAATGATACGATATCCCCCACTTTAAAAAGTGGATAGACATGCCCCCCCCCCACCGACAGACACCTGTCATGGTCTGTATGTACCTGCTGGTGTAAGTAACTATTGAAGAGAAGAAGAAAGCAGTACCGCTCCAAGTACTTGAACATCCTCTGCAGAAAAAACTGCTTGGCGCTGCCTCCCTGAAGTCAGTACAAGATACATGCATGAAAAAAACCAAATCGAAAATGGGGGTCCAAGAATTTCAGCCGTTCACTTTAATCGGTGAATGAAAATGATTCATATGTTTAACCCTAACCTACAAGACCTTTTTACTAGGAACCATCCTGAATCCTTCGAAATCCTCTGATTTTCAACACGAAAAAATTGCCTTCAGCCCAAATCCTCCAAGATCCTCTGAAATTTTATGAAAATGTGATTTGGAGGTGTGCCTCACTGCCCAAATCCTTCTAAATCCTCCAGAAATTCCTGTCATTATGTTGAGGCAGTGTGAATGGCACTCTTGAGCTGTGCAGTTGATTCAAAAGAAATATCGGGCTACATTTGTGCTTGACTAAGCACAAACAGCATAAGGTCTAATCCATGACCTTCATGTATGGCATCCTTCGAAATCAGCCAGGCACTTTTGCCATACACCCTGAATCTTCCAAATTCCTCCACTTTGCAGAAAAAGATTTTGGAGGGTTAGGGTTAAATAAACATCATCATATGTGCATCAAATCCTTTGGTTTGGACATGAAACTGATGGGACAAGTCCCAGTGCCACTTTGCCTTTACAAAAGTTCCTGCTGGAAGTGAAACCCCACGCTTTTCAACTTTTATCATTTATATTAATAAGCCTTTTGCAAGTTAAAGTTGAATAAAATCTGGTACACTGAGTTCTTTCAATTCACATGAACATAATAATTGGAATTTTTGATACTAAAGACACAATTGCTATGCCTCAGTGATTTGGGACAAACTTTTGTTTGGTTGCATGAGAGATGCCTTGCCTCAATACACTGTTTTCAATGGATAAGGGTACAAAGGAACCAGTCCATTTCAGAGATGGTGGTCATTATAATGCAAATGCTTGCCCTGAATTAAGAGTTACAGCAAGTGTCTTTAGTCTGAGGAATTCAAATTGTCATGTTTACGTGCAAACAAAACTCAGTGTACCAAATTTTATTAAGGGAATTCTTATGTGCTTGGCTGGTCTTAAAATGCATTTAAGACCGGCTCAGGAGAGTGGACGTGACTAATGCCCAAGCTGCAGACAAGGCCATTATCAGTGCAGTCTTCTAAGCTGGTCTTAAACTAATGTTGAAGACTGGCCAAGCACATATTTATTCCCATCCAAAGATACCTTTTTTAGTCAGTGAGTCAAAAGAACTCAATATATAACGGATTTCCAATGATTTTGTTTTAGAATTTTACTTTCATTTTCCTGAATACTGCCATCCATTTTATGGTATATTCCTTGTGCAAGTTGTCCAAAGAATCTCCTCGTATGGACTTGGCACGCGTGTGGTAAGCCACGTGCACAAAGACTCCTGGCCAATCAGAATCAATTAAAGTGTCTTGTATCCAGGAGCCAGTGCCTGATTTACGCAGTGGACATTACTACTTCTGAGCGGGCATTATCAAATGTTAATACACGGTGAAGTTGCACGTTGTTGAATAGGGAGACTGTCTGAGGTATTTATGAATCAAGCTTAACTTGTCAAAGACTTATTTCCTATGTATGACAAAATGACTAGGCATCAGCAGCAAAGCACTAGCTTTCCTTTCCACTGACTTACAGCAATTTCGTAGTCCTGTTTTATTGCTTCCATCTTCTTCTTGCTGTCGTAGATGTCTCCCCGGATATTGCTCATGTCATCGCACAGATCAATTAAAACATCCACCTTAGATGAATAACAACAATATCATGGATAAACCAAGCAGGGCTGGATTTTGACAGATTACAAATGTATGTACATCTCAATACATTTATGCATTCGGATGCTGTTCGTGCTTTCACGTAGCCTTTGTAAGAATCTAATCTATTCAGCCGTAAAAAGCACACACAATGCAGCAGGAAGCATTATTCATAATGCAACATCTTTGAGAATATGAATAAAAAAAACGTGGCTTCAGGATACGACTGATTTAAAATATTCAGCTATAAAGCCATCCATCAGACTCTTCCATACCGACAATGCTTCACCATCATTCCAACTTATAAATACATTGAACAATATCAATTCATAATGCTTTTTGTCCCTGCAAATATCTTCAGTGGCGTCAGCATGAATCATTAAACAAGTGAAGGGCATACTGTTTAAGATAATCCGATCCTGCTGGGCAATATCAAATCAAAGCATGCTAGATGCTAATCTACTTAGCTCTCGCTTTCTTTTAAGAAGTGCAGGAATTCTCTCTCTGGTGAGCAGACAGTGTTTAATCTTTCATCAATGTTTCCCTTGCCAGTCTCCAGTCACTGACCTCTCTCACATTTGGACTGAACAGGCCAGAGATCTCCAAACAAATACATATCAGGCTACACTGTGCAGCACCTACCACACCTGCCATACCTAAGGTAAATCATTGGATCCGGGAATTCGGCTCTAATAGCTATGAATGTGTAACATTCTCATGTAGTATCCAATTTGTCACAGCCTTGTTAACCCTAACCCTACATCATACTACAAATTACTACATGTGGTAAAATGTAGTACTGAGCACTGTCACTTGTAAGAGGACATGACTTTATTGTTCTGTGAAGCCATAAGATACAATAGATAAGACAATGTACCATACAGTGCTGTGGCACTATGAATGCATGGCTTTATTGTTCTCTGTACAAGTAACAATGGAAGTAACCTAGCCAGAAGTATTAATCTGTTGCACTTGGTCCTTCAGGCTTAAGACTATTACTTAGTATTTTCTAGCACTGTGTAGTGTAAGCCAAACAATATGCTTGGCAGTTAGGGTTCAGATGATCGGGGAGGGGGGAGGTGTACATGCAGGTTTGAAACAAAATGGGGAAGGGTTAATTCATAGTTTTAGGACAGAAAGGATGAAAAATGAGCCTTGTGACACGAAGAACTATAAATGTACATGCTCGATGTACCGTAGGGTATGTCAGTGTGATGTTTGAAGTTACATGTCCAAAAATACTAGCTTGTAAATTACAATATAGCTTCATATGTGCTCGTATTAAATACCATTTAACTTATCTGCTTCATGCTAAAATACAATCCTGCCAATTAGTGTCAAACTGAAAATATACAATCGATCCGCTTCAAACTAAAATACCCCCAACCAATCTACTTCACACTATAAGAAATACCCCCTGACCAATCTGCTTCACACTATAAGAAATACCCCTTGACTAATCTGCTTCAAACTAAAATGCCCCCTGACCAATGTGCTTCACACTATAAGAAATACCCCTTGACTAATCTGCTTCAAGCTAAAATACCCCTTGTCCAATCTGCTTCAAGCTAAAATACCCCGCGACCAATCTGCTTCTACCACCACTAATACCGCCCTGTAAATCTAAAAATTCTTGTGGAGTATGAACCAGCCTCATTCTGCTTGGATGAAGCATGTTGCAAATAACCAGCAAAAACAAAATATCAGAGTAGCTGTTTGGTACAATACACCTAATAAGACCAAAACAACAAAGCAACGAGTGTTCCAATGAAGCAAGGGCAACTTTACTCATTCCTCCTACGAGTACATTTCAAACTTTGTGAAATGGCTACCCAACGCTTCTGGAAACAGTACACCCACCCTACTGCCAACGCAACACCACCCCACAAAAGACAAACCATAAACATAGGGCAAATGGTTGCCATGTGCTTTCAGTGAGTCCAGGCGTTGCTAGGCTCAATAAATTCCTGCTGGCACTAGGTAACAAATGAAGCATTATCCCATTAGACACTACATGCCTAAAAGCACTATTGATGTGGAAGTTGTAATGGGTAAAACTCAAGCATGTCTCCGTGACCATGCTAGTTTCAACAGTGAGAGATGGCATAAGCATATTTGCCACTGTATAAAAAGCTAACAAGCCTTCTGAGAAAATGAGTAAAACTGTTCAAATAGCTTGTACTGAGAAAAAAAAAACAACAACCAAAAATTTCAGACTTATGGGGCGAAGAGAAATAACCCTAGAGTTTAACTGACAGTTCACTTATATTTCCATTACACTATTCACAATAACGGACGCCTATGCATAAACATATGCTAATATGCAAGCAGATCTCTGTTACGTACATGTAATTGGTATACCTGTGTATCATTGCCTCCTGGTGGATGCACATAGATTTGTCCTTGAAAAAACCCTGCAATTGTACATTTACAATGGCTAGTCCAAGTACAGGTTTGTGTACCGCGTATGTGTTAGGTACATCAGGTTGCTCAGGCAACTCAATTATTCCATCTCAGGCTCAGTGTGTACATGTAGACAAGGTATCCGGTTGCTCAGGCAACCCAATTATGCGAGTGTTCCATCTCAGGCTGACTGAACTCGGAATTGGAGACGTATGGTTTATATGTGTGGCCGGGGTCTCCGAACTCGGACAAAGGAAACAGGGCCCTGTAACAAAAGACCGTGCTCCGAACAAAAGACCAGGCTGCTGGGCATGACCGGCATTTTTCACTCTCAAAAGTGGTGATAATCCAGCATTATTTTGAAACCGTATACCAGGGTTTGGGACATTGAGAGCCAGCGGATTACTACCGGAGACAAAAGCGCTCCACCACCACAGCGATGAGCCACACAGCACTGCTTCATGCTAATCTGGCCCCTATTGAAAAGAGGTCAGCAGTGCACTGAGCCAGGTTCGTGAACAAAAGACAGTTATACAACACCGCACAATCTGGGCTCTGTTTACAAGGCTGCAGGCCTGGCTGAAATACTCAGGCATCAATGAAGGTCACCTGTCAACTCAGAGTAGTGCCTAAAGATTACTTCGTGCGGCTATAAACGACCGTTAAATGAAATGATGAATTTTTGAAGGATTTTGAAAACGGAAAAAATGATAGTCATGCTGGCCCAGCATCATCAACATTGCAAAATGCCCCAGCATGAAGTGGTTGAAAAGCCTTTTTTTTCCGTACCTCTTGTTTGGTCTGTATGCCGTCAGGTAATGCCCCACACAACTGCTGAACCACTGGGAATTCCCCCTTCTCCAAATTACGAGTTTTCTCTTCCATAGCATGGGTCTGTTCACTGTAAGAAGAATCGATAAGCGACTCAGTAATAAACCTCTGTTCTGATGACATCACAGTTTGTTTACATGCGTGCTCTCCTAGGATGCTTAGTGGATCATGGGCCCCCTCTGGATCCATAGAAAGTGCACATTTAAACAAAGTGTGCCAGTGCATAGGCCTATCATCATACTACGTGTAGATAGCCTCTTGTACAGCAGTCATTAATAGTATTTGGTGGCGGCGTGGGTCGGCAGATACATGCATTTATATTTATGAGAGTGTAAATTGTTCGTCAAAATTTAAACCTGTCTCTATCTCACTGAAGAACCATTTGATTGTCAACGACTTACTATGCCACATCAGGAAAGCCGTGTTTATGAGCAAGGACCAGCATGCCCAGAACCATGGCAAAGGTGGTACGACTACCTCCCATGTGACCCACAAAGACCATTCCAGGCGTGGATGTGTCTTGATGATCAAACAGAGTTGGTACATCCTGATGGACAAACAGTGAGAGGCAAAACGTCAATCAGGCATCATGCATGAACATTTGGACAACTGCATACATGAACGTAAATTTACCCATGGACAAACTTACGCTGCGTGTGTAGTGTACATGTAAGTGACCATAATGCACTGCTCATTGAGAACTGAACGTCATGGCCGGCCGTCACTGGTACTTGACACAAAAGCAAACACAATACACATCTGTGATAACAGATTACAATTTTGTGCGGTAAATTTGCAATAGGTGAATGCATTTCGTGTCAACTGAATTCAGCGGCAGATATTTCTCAACATCAATTTACTTTGCTTTTGCATTTGCCTTAAGTACATGTTTTCACCGGTGTTGTAGCCGAGACCATCACAAGACCAGACACAAGACCAGACACAAGACCAGCCATAAGCAACAGTGTGAACAATGACAAAGGAATGCTTTTGTTGCAGTTCATTTGAATAGCTTGTGACTTGAATTCAGAGTGGAGGTCTTGTGTTGGTCTTGTGAAGGTCTTAATTGGTCTCGACGACAACACTCGTACTATACATGTACACTGACCTTTAGGTACATGTGCTAATCTGATATCACTCATCTATTCAAGCAACTATATGTATTTGAAAACAAATTGCCTGAGAAACAATTCTCAAACTTTTTGTTTTATCATGCATTTTGAAGCTCTTTTGAAGATTTTTTTTAAAGTCCAAGGAGAGTGTTAAAAAGCAGTACATCGATGTATACATATAATTACTGGAATAAAATTATAAACATACTAGACTCTATCCTCAGCAACCTTCACTGGCCCTCTTCACCTCACAAGAAGCTTTTAAAAAGGGACTCAAGCAAGCCTTCGTGTACAGCTACATATACATGTAGAAAATCTAATATGGTACTGTTAAAGCATCCTGCAATGAATACATGAGAACTACCGGTAATGGAACACTCATGATAAATGTACCGCACATCAGCATGTTTAAATGCACCGGGGTCTTGTCTCTCGACTCCCTCTATTAGTCCCTGTGTATCACATGTACCGGGGTACAATACAGTATATACTACAAGTACATGTACATGTTCAGTACGCAAGTATATACCTGTACATGAACACGTAACAATACAAAATTGCCATCACTTCTATGGAAGGTTAGTGGATCCACAGGGATTCCCTGACCTCTATAATTATGGTAATGGTTAGAAGCCCATTTAACTACTGCGATCTACATGTACATGTACATGTACATGTACAATACATGAACCTGTTTACACTACTTAGTACAAGTAATTGCTGTGGTATTTAACTACCACAAGCATTTGAAGAGATTATCAATTACTTTCTAATATAAACAAACTAAAAGCAAAGGTAACCCTGGAAAGTCAACACCAAGTCTAAACATCTGCATCTGTTTGCATTACAAGGAATACTGCTGAAGGGGAAAAACAAAACGAACAAAAAAAGAAACCAAACAAAACCCCTCCTGATATCTGTGGACTTTGAAAGTTGATGCAACGAGATTTGAGCAAATAAGGATGCATGGTTGTGCTATTAATGATAAATCAGTCAGTATTTTGTTGTGTACATGTACATGTAAGTTAATGAAGGATCTCAGACGTACAGTACCACATTTCTTACTGTAGCTTCATCTCTTGCAAGAGTGCAAGGTCCTACACCATACAGTGATATTTGCTACAAAGTGGGCTACATGTATGTACCATACAATACATTGCAGTTGAAACTTAACCCTGTGAAAACGACAGGGAAAAATAGAGAAAAGAATTCCCATGGGCATTTGTGAAAAATGTGTGACATTTTTTCCCACTTGTGAAAAGAAAATCTGTGAAATTTTCTCACTTGTGTAAAAAGGTGTGAAAATTTTTCCCACAAGTGAAAAAAAGTAGGGAAAAATTTCTAACTTGTAAATTTCTTTTTCAACAGAAGGGAAGAAAGTGTGAAATTTTTCTCCACTGAAGAATTTTTCAACATTTGTGTATTTGTGTCATGAATATTCATTTTCGCGGATGAGAAAACGTGTGAACATTTTTTCCTCCTTTTGAGGTTAACTTTCTATTGCAATGTACTGTACAATATACTGGGTATGTATTTACACATTTACAGCAGCCACGGTCCAGTTAACAAGAAGTTAACTCCAAGACTCCATGCCAGAAATTAGGGGTCCAAAAGTGTGACATTTTTGTGTTCCTGTTACATCTGACCTTTAGTTATTTGTCATGGAAATATCACCTGAATCAATTTCAAACTATTACCATTTGTTTGGCAGGTAATTTGCATTAATTCATCACTCTTGGAAATTAGAAAATGTGTTATGAACTTACAAAATTATATGTCGGATGTGACAGGGACGTGAAAAAAAAACGAGACCCCTAATTTCTGGAATACCCTTGTGCATGTGAATACAACCAGGAAAATTTACAATTGAACTCACCACCCATTGCGGTTGATATAAACATACGGCACCCGACCTAAACACGTTACAAGCAATGTGTTCTCTGTAAAACTGTCTCAGACAATTCTCGCCACTTTGCATGTCCTCCAAGGTTAACCAGTTTCAATTTCACGACGACAAGAATGAATCCTCTGCTGTGTTAACGTTCCTGTTCTCCATCAAAATGTACATATAAGTATCTCAAATACAAGCCCTCCCTCCAAAATATACATGCATGCAAACAGAATAAAAACCAATAATTTTCCACATGTAAACAAATGATGTACATGTATGTACCTTCAAAACATCAAAGAAGGTATCGATGACTTGTTCGTCGGGAGCCCCATTTGTCCTCATGGGCATGCGTAGGTATCTGGCGTTTGTCTGCGAGACGGTGTGGATGGCATACATCTCTTGGATTGTCTTCAGGTGTTCCTCGTAGTAGATGCAATACTTGTGGGGCTCGTCCACAAACTGATCAATGTCCTCATAGAAATAGAACTCGCTCTCTTGGTCCCGGAGAGCGTATCTGAGAATCTGGAGGATTCGGTGGGGAAACAACACGAAATTTCTTTCACTTCTGGTGTGAAGTTTGCTGACAAAACAAAAAGGCATGAAATATCACAAGGAATTTACAACTATTACTACAGAAGTCAGGTTTTCATATTTCTTTTTTTCATAACCTTTTTGACACTGCTAACATGCTATTTAAAAAACATGTCACCTTCTTGGGACAAAAAACACATGCAGGCAGGTGCAGTAGAGTGGAATTAATTTTCCATCAGAAACTCAAGTGGGTATTACATGTACGGTACATTCTATGGTACGTGCATGGTAATATTTATGCCTGACAGCAAGGCCACCGGAAATTCTTGCAAGGTTGTTTTCAATTTGATTGGGACATCTACCAAGTACTGCACTAGGGCAACTCTCATGTATATTTCATGACTCTTGGCTGAAATCACTTCAAACTCAGTGGCCACTTGTGTTAGCTTGAAACTTGAACCGCTACATCCTTGGGCTGCCTTTGGCCTGTTCCCTGTCTGCATCTGTTTCACTCCTGCACAACGTCAGTGAACGCTCTCCACAATTGACGCATGAGGCATTCAAGGACTCGTCAAGGCACAATGAAAACATGCATATAGAAAGGCATCTTTAGAAGAACTTGAAATATTCAGACAGGCATAAAACCAAAGAACGGAATATCGGTGCTTCGTATTTCATATAAGGGGATCATAAAAGACAAATATCCGGATCTTTGTAAGTTGCAACACACAGGGGGAATCATTAAAGGAGTCTTTATCAATAAAATATGTACATTGTTATTAGTATGTATAACCAGTGCTTTTGGGAACTGAACAATGCACTAAATGAACAGTACAATACGCATGTACATAAAGTACTGTATGTGCTCCACATACATGTACATGTAAACTGGGATACGTGTATAAATCAGTAAGATCCCTAAACAGACATCAATGCACAGAGATCCCCACAAATATACTGTGTTGTACAGGTACAGGTATGTACATGTACATACATGTACATGGCCAGAACAGATAGACTACAGGTACATGTACATGCATGTATACATGTACATGGCCAGAACAGATAGACTACAGGTACATGTACATGCATGTATACATGTACATGGCCAGAACAGATAGACTACAGGTACATGTACATGCATGTATACATGTACATGGCCAGAACAGATAGCCTACAGGTACATATACATGCATGTACATGTACATGGCCAGAACAGATAGCCTACAGGTACATGTAGTCTGCCATAAACATGATAAAAGTTGTGCCTTTATCTGATCTGTTACAATATTTATTTGTTCTTTATTCATAAATACCTCAGATAGTCTCCCTATTCAACAACGTGCAACTTCACCGTGTATTAACATTTGATAATGCCCGCTGAGAATTGATAATGCCTACTGCGTAAATCACACACTGGCTCCTAGATACAAGAAAGTTTAATTGATTTTGATTGGTCAAGAGTGTGTGTGCATGTGACCCGCCACATGAGTGCCATGTCCATATAAAGAGATTCTTCAGACAACTATAAAATAAATGGACGGGGGTATTCAGGAAAATGAAAGTAAAATTTGACAACAAAATTGTTAACATTCATGATACAGACTTCTCTTGAATCTCTGACTAAAAGGTATCTATAAATGGGAATAAATATACATGTATGCTTGGCTGGTCTTAAACTAATGTTTACATGTAAGACTGGCTCAGGAGACTGAAGGCTTATAATGCCAGAGCCGCAAGTCACGTCCATTCTCCTGGGTTGGTTTTAAAAAAAGATCAGCCAAGCGCATATTTATTCCAAGGTTTTATAACCAGGCTAATGCCCCACAACCTGTTCTCCCAATGGGCCTTAAAGGGAAGAGGGTATTGTTGAAAATATTCAGTATCAGAGGAGGAAGCCATGGAATCGGGTACTATAGGGGCTGAGGAGCCAATCTACAATGTCGGCCTGGGTGGGATTTAAATCCGGACTGCAGAGGAAGAAACTACCTGTAAACCTGACTCCCAATAAACGATATGTTATAATACATGTACATGCATGTATGTCTGGTTCTAGTCATACATGTCTTGAATATTGTCTTTTCAGGGGTTTAGATAAATTTCTTCAAGCCATGAGCACAATACCCACTTCCTTGCTTAGCGTAAAGTACTCTTTTGCCCTCAGTATTGTTTAGTGTTGTAATGTTCTTCTTCATGAGAGGGAGAGTACTGTACTCCCTAAATAGGCGGAGGAACTGAGTACCCATATTATGAGAGTTAGTCCTTTTTCCTTAGTAAATATAAAAATACTTCTTATTTCTCTCACAGTAAAAAAAAAGTGCTTAGTGATACTCATGACATCACAGACAAAATCACATAAGTTTGTATCCGCCCATGTACGGCAGTACATGTGAGGCTACTGTGAACCGTGCAAGCGCCATTTTGACCGGCCACTGCACACACACGCCAAGCGGTGGCCATTTGGAAAGTCAAGTTGCACTTTATTGCTTGGCAGTCAAATGTGCTCACACTCACGATCTTAACCTCAATCTTTCTACAGTGTTTCAGATCTAAATTTTCCAAAAAATGATACCTGGAAATAAAAGCCTGTTTTTAGCAGATCAAAACTTGCAGAAACGTTCATGTTTTTCGCAGAAATATCGATAAAGAGTTCAGGCAACTCAAAGCCTATCCATTCACTCAAAAATTGATGAAAACTGTGTGGTCCTCGCGGGCTACAAACCAATTTTACTGCATCATTTCTTCAGGGTGCCTGGTGACCATGTTTTTGTACTCAAAATGATCCATGCGCACAACGCGTGCGCAGTAGCCCATTTCGGTCTACAACACATTTCACTTTGGGTCTTTCCTGTCGATTTGGGATTTTTGTGAATAATGCACGGAGCATCGGGAAATACTGTACATAGATGAACATGAACAAATCAGTTTCAATAGCATCTGCTACGAACGTTACTTTGTTGGGCAGGGCGTAATTGATGAAACATGAAAAATCCAGAAATTTATGGTACTCTTTCTAGAGTAGAAATCACAGCATATGTTACATTCTGCATGAGGTTTTATGCTGCGTATTTTGACTAAATTCCAAGTCAGGAAACGTACATGTATATACGCCAATGTGCAAGTTATCTAAATCCCATTCTTTTCATTGGCTCAGAACAATCACATGACAGGGCAACATAACTGCTTGTCACACTAGACATCACATAAGTCAGTGTATTATGATATCGCACGCGTATGCCCACCCACACATATTCCCTGCCGTGTACAAGATAATGCAGGGATCACTAACTGTGAATGATCAAAGATTTCTTTTTCGCCTTGAATTTCCCTCATTAAATGTATAGAAAAGCAAGTGAATGAAATTATCGAGACAGAGATGTGACAAAGCAATTGTTGACCGCATGTGACATGGGATACGAAGGGATGCATAGCGCCTGAGGTGAAGCCAAGGGTGCTATGTATCCTTGAAGGTGTTCATAATGTCATATCCCGCATCACAGCAGTCAACAACTGTTAAGTGTAGAGGTCATACACAGTGACAACCAGGACAAATTCACGGCTTGTTTGTTTCCCACTGGATTTTCATCAGTGATCCCAACGCTGGCTAACTCCATCCATTAAGCGGGTTTTAGTATCAGTGAACCAAAGACAGATTGAAATCGGGATTTGTGTGAAACAAACACGCCCTCTGGGAATTGACTGAGATTGAGATTTGACTGACCTCTTTCCGTAGGGCAACTTCATTGTTGCTGATACCCAGTGAGGTGGCTATTCTGGTATAGATATTCTCACACAGCTTCTCCCGCTCCCTGGGTGTGTAGGACACAAAGTCTTCATTTCTCTTGAGGAAGAGAACAGGCTCCTCTCGAATGCAGACCACAATGAGTTCCTTTGGGAGGCAAACATTTCAAATGTTACACTTAGGACTCTGGGAATGGCTAGACATGATTTTCTATGGACCAAATATCATTACATGTATGTACATGTACTGGTAGGCTGTGTCAGAAGCTCAGCGCATGAACATTAAAAAGTTGATTCCACTTTTGAATTGTTTGCCAATATACACCAGTCGTACAGCATTTCAAAACATGAAATATAAATATTACACACATGCACTGTATTCTCTCTGAAAGAAAAACTAAATCAGTTGAATTTTCAGGCAAAAGTGATCACTGGCAAACAGTTGGCTGAGCTGAGAAATGTTCCCTGTCATCTTAAGAGTGTTTACATGCATGCATGATACGTAGTCATCACATTCTTTTCAGTGAGAATACATGTACAATGTACATGTTAATGATTCACCTGTTCACATGTTGGTCCTCTTCTATGTAAAGGGCAATTCCACAGAATCATCAACCACGGGGTCAAAATTTCAAAATGGTCCAAATGCAAATGTATATCATTTTGAAGCTGGTGGTATGTACATGTACATGTACTTTCTTGAAACATACATCATTTTTAACAATATTCAAGAATTTATCCATTATTTGCCTCTGAAAACTTACATGTAGTTGTAAATGTGCCGAGAAATTACATGTAGAAATTCTTTGCTCCAGTTTTGTAACAGTTTGAAGAGTGCCCCAGTAAGTAAACATTGACAAAAATGAATTTCCATTTTCTTTTTAAATTTTAAGTAATGTATCATTTTAGAAAACTTACTTTTCGTATGCACATGTACATGTACGTCCAACACCAATTTGATGTACATGTACATGAGTGAGTAAAGTTTTATTTCCATGATTCATGTACATCCTTTGAGACAAGAGTGCCAAATTTACAATACAAAACACAAAAAGTGCTCTATTCCTAGACATCAGCAAAGGTTTTGGATGTGCATGTCTGACACCCTGTACAATGTTGCACATGTATGGTACATGTCTGTCTGACACCGGCAAAACCATAAATTGCTGGCAGTGCAATGCCCATACAATGCACAGAAACCACTAATCATCTGTACACCTTATTTGCAGGTATACACATACATTGTAAATACGGCCCCACGCTTTTGTAACAGTTACCAAATAGGCTTCCTTATTTGCATGCATTTGACGACTGGGACAAGCACTTCCTAATAGATCAGACCACCAATAAATCTCAATTTATTTCTGCATGCGTATAAATGGCAAGTACATGTACATGTAGAGGCAAAAAGCTTGAGTGACGCATTGAAATATACAGGGGCACAAATTTCAAATTTCAGAAACCCTCTAAAATCGTTATACATGTAGCCATAACATTTGGTTTGGGAGGAACATTTGCTGTTTTGCAGAACAAAGTAAAAAAAAAAAAATTTTTTTTTTCAAAGTGCCTGCGGTCAAAAGAAATGAGTCCGGTACGGTTCCATTCTTTGCGAGTTACAAATTACCACAAATTGTGCAACAGAATACATTAGGGTACCATCCAGCATTCTCGGTCCAAGAGGTACCGTAGATGTACCGGTAAGTGGCAAAACATTTGACATCAGAAGGATAATAATGGTTCTGTTGATGAATGGCATCAAGGGAGTACCATGTATTTCCAATAACTCTCATTTTAAAGCAATTTAAAGTCTAATTCATGGTTCAAAGTAGGTGCCTCTGTACATGTACATTGTACATGTAGTGCCCTGAAGTACAAATTGTATACTTAATGGGACATCGTCAAAAAGGAGCCCTGTACTCTCATGCATTCAGGAAGAAAGCAAATTTGGTTCATTTCTTGCAGTATAAAATCTTTTCAGACAAAAAGTAAAGGCTACACTGTATAATGATTTTAGAGTCTTTTCCAAAGACTAAACTGAAAAAAGTGCAGAAGCTCAGAGAAAATGTCAAAATTTATGCCCCTGTACATTTTCAATGGGCTGCTCAAGCTTGTTGCTTCTCATTTATGTGCATACACACATCAATTAGAATCTACAAGTGAACTGGTCTGTAGCATTATAATTATGGGAGAAAGGCAATCCACATGCAGCAAGTACAGCTAGCCAAGCGTTGCAGGTCATTGACGCAAATTCACGTTTGGCTGAATTTGATGCTGATGCCATTTATATTATATAATACTTGGAACCAAAGACATCAAGAGGATTGTCAACTGTAGAAAACTGAACTTTTTGAAAGTTGTACTGTTTGACAGTTCATGACTTGATTGATCTCGCAAAATTTGCAGACATATATATCTTTGTGAATAGTATTTTCTGTCATTCCGTTTCATTGAATACTTGATTATCCAATTTCTTTCCAGTTGGTTTTGATAGATTTTGGAGTTTCTTTTTGCTTGAAAAGTTCAGAAAGCCCTTCGTGAAAAACGTGAAATGAGATACCGGTAAGCTCAGGTTTGAACTGATTGCTTTTAATTTTAAGTAATTTCAGAAAAAGATAGCCTTAAGTCCTTGCACATGACAGAGTTTGAGATGCAAAAATTGAAAAAAAAAGACCTTTCCCTGAGTACGTCTGACACCATGGTGTTTTGAGTCAGTTTCTACCAGGGTAATCATGCTGAGTGGGTAAAAGTTTTACTTAATCAGCGTACCAACTTATGCCTTTTATCACAATGAAAATCTGCGGGAGGATTACACATGTACATAGAAGTCTCTTAATTCACACGGTTGAAGTGCCTGAAATGTGCAGTGCATGTACGTCCGACACCGTGGAACTGCCCTAAATTCATTGTAAAAAATCAGCATGATAGAAAAAGGCACAACAATGCCAGCTTACTGAGCAGCCTTCTTGTCCAAGCGTGTCCATAACTTTGGCCAGTCCTAAGGCTGTAGGCTGACCCATGCCAAACACCGCAAATCCTCCTCCAGCTCTCCTGAAGTTGGGCGCGCCTTGCTTTTCTGTCGTTTTCATCTTATCAATTCCTTTGAACTGGTCAGCTACCATGAAGTACTTTCCCTGTGCAAGAAACACATGCGCATGTAAGAACTCTACATGTACCAGGTAGAGAAGATGTATAAATACATGTACATGTACATTGTACACATGAACAATATAAAAACTCACTTCAGTATCAAGTTTGATTTACATGTCCATGTACGTGTACCTGTGCACCCACATCCATATGTATACTTGTGGGGTATTTCCTTTGTTCTCGTGTACAAAACTCCCACACAACACAGAAAAAATTTCAAATCACTTCCATTTCAACCAAATTCAGTTTCCTGGGTTGAAATTTTGACCGTATGTCCTTTATATACAGTATGTAAAACACTTCAATTTGCGACGAATGAATGGCACTGGAAAATTCCTCCTTTTTGAGTAAATTTGAAATATCTATTTTGTGAAATTCTTGTGGGGTACCACTTTAGTACCCCACAAGGCCAGTTTTTAGCCTTGTGGGGTACCTTCAATTGTTCTGGCACCCCACAAGGCACCATGTACAAGCACAATTCCACTTGCCAGTCATACACTTAATATTATCACTTCTGTTCTAGTTCTGTTCAATTCTGATTTCTCTCGGCTTTCCTTTGTATTTTCCCCTTTTTCGTCACTCCTGTGCCCAGCAACCCCCCCCCTTTTTTAACAATCTTGTTTTTCAGTGGTAGAATATGCCTTGTGGAGGTGCTAGACACCTGTTCCTTAATCCTGTTATTCTGATTCTTTGTTTTTTAGTGTTGTATTTTGCAGTGTTTTAATTTGATTACATGTACTTTGCTATGGTCTCATTTATGCTGGTCAGTGGAAAGTGTAATAAAAATATAAATTAAAAAAATTATTTCCAAGACCTTGACTTTCTACGCATTGTGCGTTCACTTCTACCTGTACTTCATTTGCATGCAAAGCATGGCTGTGCATGGAATTTATGAGCAGATTCATTAACTTGTGCTTCAGCATTTTGTTGGAGCTGACATCCATCTTTTATTATCACAAGCTGCCCTGATTTCTATAAAAAGTGGAAGGAACCTTTTAAAATCACACAGGATATTGGTAGGTGATAATCCAAGAGTCAATCTTAAGAACATTTGATGCGATCCAGGTTGCTGCTGTTGTGATTTCAGTAGATTCTAATCCATTTGAATTCAGTGACCATCGTGAATTTTGTGACAGACTTTTGTTTGTGGAACAAGTACCGCACCCGGGTATTAATTCATTGTCAACTCCTGTGTAAACAATGAATAGAAGAAAGTGAACAGATACGACTGAAAAATGAATGGTATCACCAAACAGGACATTATGCGTCAAGACTGACCCAATTCTATCTCATCAATGCATTGTGGTAAATGCTGTGATACTCCACCATTACTTACTTGGACTAGTGTGTGTTCAGGCAGACCATCTTTTATGCTCCCCTTGGTCACCTCCTGTTTCTCGGCGAGTAGGGTGCACTGGAACTCCTCAAAGCAGTCCTTTGTGATGATGATGGGTGCCACCTCGTTGCAGATGACATTGTGTCCCTTCCACTTGTCACCCCCTTCAATCCCAAAGGAGTTCTTGCGCCGGTCTGATTCCTCCAGTCGGTTGTTCCGCGGCATCTCGGGGGAAGGCGAGCGGGATGAGGCGCTGCTGGCACCAGTCCCCATCCTGGCCGTCTGTACCACGCACTGACCTATACTGACGACCGTGGCTGGCTTCTTATAAACACAAACTCTCAAAGCACGTGATGCTGTACCGGGCGACCACTTTTCCTGGATTAATCAAACCTTGAAAAAAGAGAGTAGAGAAGAGAAATCCATGAAGCATTCATGATGAAAGCGTACACTCAATAAATCCTTGCGTTAATGATTCATGTGGCATATTGGTGAACCTTTTACATGTACCTTTCTGAGTTACAACGTAACACTGCTCATGGATGGAAACATGTACTAAGTACTGGTACATGTATGTCCATTTATGTACACACGTACATGTATTTCACAAAATACACACTTGAGCAGGTATATATTATAAACTGCAAAAGCAATGGGCAAATTTTGCTATTGGTACATGTACATGTACACTAATACAGTTCCATGTACATGTACGTTAGGCATACATACCGGTATATCTATTTCGGTTTCCAAAATAACTTGTCTTACAAAATTCTCAAAATGCTTACAGCTCCCAAAGTTCCTCTTTTATCTGCAGGTACCGTAGCTTACATGTACCACTGAGAAGGGTTTCCTCCATTCAAGCACGGAAAGATTAGACGCATACATGTACCAGTGCAAACATGTTGTAATCCAAACACTCATGCACAGGTCTAAAAAATAGGTTCACCTTTTTTGGCACGCTCAGTGCAATGCATCATATTGTGCTCGGCATCATTTGCACCAACGACCTGGCCGCTGGCATTTCACACTAAGTTTACTACAAATGACTACTTCATTTGTTATTACAAGGCTCTTGGCCATCTCCATGGCAACCTCTAGCACAACCTTAATGGGCTGCCTGGCACTCCTATCTCACACACGTCTCTTCATCCACAGAATTTCTGTAAAGCTGGAACCACTGAAAATCCTGTGTCTATTATTATAGTCTTGAATCACTGAAGGTTTGTGCAAAACATCCCAGTTACGATCAACATGTAAAAATCAAAAGAAAGATTTTGCCAAATTATCTTTATCATTCACGTACATTTGTACTTTGAACCAAGTGTCAAACATGTACCCGGTACATGTACGTGAAATATTTGAGATATTCAAGATATCAGTATTTTGACCATTCTCTTGTGCCTTTTAAATGAAAGCGTTTTCTTTGGCTGGGCGCTTTTTGATTAAATGAAATTGTATTTGAATAACCTACTCATCAATCAATTAATCAAGTAACCAAATTAGGTACTGGTACTTAATAATATAAATATGGTCCGGTAGTCACAGTGCGAGTTTCATCTCATTAGACCAGGCCAAAAAATCCCAGCATTCCGTATTTAACTTGTACATATGCAAAGTGGCCAACATCAATTCCATGAACACTAATCATTTTTTGCCTGCAGTTGGCCAGGCGTACTTTGAGTTGATTTCAATTTAGACCACAGAATCTGCCGCAAGAACGCCAAAGCTATAATCATGCAGCGGTCAGCTGTACAACGTGCATACCTGGTTTTTTTTCTGAGATTGTGAGTCAGCAAATGTTTGATGAGAAAATTTAGCAGAATATCAGGTTTAAACTTTAAAAGGCTGACAGCTGATCGCCAAATTAGGGACTTTGTCCTGTCTGCGAAGTTCACGACGCAGAGTCTGTTTTCTTGGTTCTCACAAAGAAGCAAAACATTTTATCAGTCTTTCTCAACAATGTTTTTTATTACTGCCACGATAATAAAAAAATCTTGTCCCTATCATGTATGTGCATGTACATGATAACAATTGTGTACAGTACATACAGGATAACTATGGTGTACGTACAGGATAACTATCGTGTACGTACAGGATAACTATGGTGTACGTACAGGATAACTATCGTGTACGTACAGGATAACTATGGTGTACTTACAGGATAACTATGATGTACGTACAGGATAACTATGGTGTACGTACAGGATAACTATGGTGTACGTACAGGATAACTATGGTGTACGTACAGGATAACTATCGTGTACATAGAGGATAACTATTGTGTACATACAGGATAACAACATGTACATGTATCATGTATGTACCATACGTGATAAGTTCAACTGAAATCGATCTCCACTATCCAACAAAGAAAAAGAACTGGATGCAGAGAACATTCAAATCCTAATGGAACTCTTTGAGGAACAAAGTTAAGAAGTGTCAGTTAGGCACGGAATTCAACCCCCGAAAACTAAAAGTGAAATCTGCCTTCTCCGGTCATGCATGGCTTGAAGAAGAACGACACAGACCAGGACTCTTTGCAATTACATGTAGTTGCAATAAATAAGTATAAAAGAACCAAAAAATGTGACTGATGAAGTGCAGAAAGAATGCACAGAAAATATGCTGTTTTCCACAACACAAAGAGAAAAAAACAGGTGAGACGGCAAATTATCACCGGTATACTTTAAATCCTTTAGTGAATTAGAAACAAAACCCAGAAACAAATATACACAAACAAGCCCTTGGGTTGCCAAGCTCCCCATACAGAGATTCAAAACTCCCATTCTCTGGGAAACACTAGCCTATGGGCCCCACGGGCGAGTTATGTGTTGAAAAGCGTTACCCACCCACTTTCGTGACTTTGCATGAGACCAGGGACATGAGGGATGACTTCCTACAGGTAGTTAAGAATTGTACCCTGAAAATTAAGCAAATTTCACACAAACTTTCTAGGAAGCTCCTATCTGCACAAACAGTGGTACTGGTATGTCTACCAATGTATCAAAAGCTACATCAACCTAATAATCTCTCCATGCCTGTCTCAAAAAAGAAAGAAATACAGTAAGAAAAGACTGGGAAGTGGCCCTGTTAATGCTGATAACAAATCTCATCCTTTCTTTGCTAAAATAATCTAATTCACAGCAGCGATCTTTTTGGAATAATCCCCCCCAAAACCCGTAAACAAAAGGATGAAATTGACCGATGATTCCTTAAACCTTGCTTGCGCAGACTGGTTTCGCCTATTTTCTTAGCCATAGAAAGAATTCACTTATTAAACCTTGGAAAACAGTCTGGAAAAATAAAAATCAAGGTGGCGGCCGAACTCCCATCCACCAAACTTAAGATGTAGGGGCGACATGTATGATTACACCCCGTCCCTGCACACAAATGGATAGGACGTGCACTTCTGAGTTATCGTGTACATGTACATATCACGTAAGGATTCATACATGTACATGTAACGGTACATGTACATATCCATGAAGTGCTTGGTTCTTCAATTCAGTATGACGTCAACTGTATGTATTTCAGTTACATGTATATCCAAAAGCCACATGCCCAAATTACAGTGATGAATCATTACATGTACATGTACTGTACCAACATGTACATACTGTGTATGTACCGGTATGCACATGTACCTATATTGGTCCATGTACCAAAGATTTTTGGGCAGAAAAATGCTGGAATTATTTAATTCTGGCATATTTAGCGTTGTTCCCTCAGCCACTACAGCTGTGAAGGCTCAAAGCAAGAGCAGTCTTTATTTCGATGGAGTTGGCAGTCCCCTACATGTACACACAGGATGTATTGGTACATGTACACGTATATTGCAATTAACAGNTATTGTGTATGTACAGGATAACTATGGTGTACGTACAGGATAACTATGGTGTACGTACAGGATAACTATGGTGTACGTACAGGATAACTATCGTGTACATAGAGGATAACTATTGTGTACATATAGGATAACTATCGTGTACATACAGGATAACAACATGTACATGTATCATGTATGTACCATACGTGATAAGTTCAACTGAAATCGATCTCCACTATCCAAAAAAGAAGAAAAAGAACTGGATGCAGAGAACATTCAAATCCTAATGGAACTCTTTGAGGAACAAAGTTAAGAAGTGTCAGTTAGGCACGGAATTCAACCCCCGAAAACTAAAAGTGAAATCTGCCTTCTCCGGTCATGCATGGCTTAAAGAAGAACGACACAGACCAGGACTCTTTGCAATTACATGTAGTTGCAATAAATAAGTATAAAAGAACCAAAAAATGTGACTGATGAAGTGCAGAAAGAATGCACAGAAAATATGCTGTTTTCCACAACACAAAGAGAAAAAAACAGGTGAGACGGCAAATTATCACTGGTATACTTTAAATTCTTTAGTGAATTAGAAACAAAACCCAGAAACAAATATACACAAACAAGCCCTTGGGTGCAAGCTCCCCATATAGAGATTCAAAACTCCCATTCTCTGGGAAACACTAGCCTAATGGGCCCTGCGGGCGAGTTATGTGTTGACAAGCGTTACCCATCCACTTTCGTGACTTTGCATGAGACCAGCGATGACTTCCTACTGGAAGTTAAGAATTGTACCCTGAAAATTAAGCAAATTTCACACAAACTTTCTAGGAAGCTCCTACATGTATCTGCACAATCATTGGTACCAGTATGTCTACCAATGTATCAAAAGCTACATCAACCTAATAATCTCTCTACGCCTGTCTCAAAAAAGAAAGAAATACAGTAAAAAAAGACTGGGAAGTGGCCCTGTTAATGCTGATAACAAATCTCATCCTTTCTTTGCTAAAATAATCTAATTCACAGCAGCGATCTTTTTGGAATAATCCCCCCCAAAACCCGTAAACAAAAGGATGAAATTGACCGATTATTCCTTAAACCTTGCTTGCGCAGACTGGTTTCCCCTATTTTCTTAGCCATAGAAAGAATTCACTTATTAAACCTTGGAAAACAGTCTGGAAAATAAAAATCAAGGTGGCGGCCGAACTCCGATCCACCAAACTTAAGATGTAGAGGCGACATGTATGATTACACCCCTTCCCTGCACACAAATGGATAGGACGTGCACTTCTGAGTTATCGTGTACATATACGATACTTATCATGTAAGGCTTCATACATGTACATGTAACGGTACACGTACATGTCCATAAAGTGCTTGGTTCTTCAATTCGGTACGATGTCAACTGTATGTATTTCAGTTAAATGTTTATCCAAAAGCCACATGCCCAAATTACAGTGATGAATCATTACATGTACATGTACTGTACATGTACCTACATGTACATGTACATACTGTGTATGCACCGGTATGCACATGTACATGTACCTATATTGGTCCATGTACCAAAGATTTTTGGGCAGAAAAATGCTGGAATTATTTAATTCTGGCATATTTAGCGTTGTTCCCTCAGCCACTACAGCTGTGAAGGCTCAAAGCAAGAGCAGTCTTTATTTCAATGGAGTTGGCAGTCCCATACATGTACACACGGGATGTATCGGTACATGTACACGTACATTGCAATTAACGGNTTAACAGTGTGAGTGGGAAGGGGAAATTGGGTAAAGTAACATTCAAGATAATGTTCGCATTTCACAAGGGGTGAAAATGTCTCCCACTAGAGTGAAAAGTTGTGCAAATGTTTCCCACTTGTGGGAAATTGTTTTCACTTTTGTGAAATGACAATGAACTCCTAGGGGAATGGAAAAGTGTGGAATGAATTGTCCATTCCGAGGTCAACTTTTAATTGCGAAGTACTGCAAAGGCCGGTGGTTCCTCATTGGAATGGTGAGTGAAAGAAAAAGCATTGCTAGGGGTTACTACCGGCAACAAGGCACTTGTAAATAGCTGGTTTTCAATGGCCAATGTACTGCTGTCATTCACAAAATACTTTGCTGAGTTCATGTCTTTATCAATTGCCTCTGCCGAAAGGTAGGCTCATTTATTCATCTACAATTATCAACATTTACTAGTATGTACCAGAGTACTTTCAACTTACAACTGTACATCTTGAAGAAAAGTAAACCACTATTGGTTTATAGAATGAAATTGACTGAAAAAAAATGAGTGAATGATGATTTAATTTCCT